GGGGGTAGACGCTGTGCTGTAGGGGCGGAAAACAATGCGATGGCACAGCGCGGCTCGCAGCGGAGCGCGTGAGTAGTGTCAGCGTGCCTGTCGTAAACTAGCCCAGTATAATATGGGTTGCTGGCATACAATTGCAGTATTTTTGCTGTCGGTGGAACTGAACTGGTACAACATTATTTGATGTATAGTGTACCAAAATTCTAGTAAGCCTATATTCTATAGGCGAAAAACTGGCACGAATAACGGTTTTAGCCATATTCCCGAATTATCCATTGAATTCGCGGATGATAGAGTGTTGCTATGTACTTTGACAATAACATCCCTCCCCGGTACTGTCTTCCCGTACCCAGCCCAGCCTCTCGGGCTGTCCGGCCACCAGCTCTTACCAACAGAACGAGAGCCATTTTCGGACGCTAATCTAATAATCTCCATCCGACCTTTTTTTGTTTCGCCCTGTTCGCCACGCCTCTCCCTCCCATCCCTGTCGGTCCAGGTCGGGCTTTATCGGCGCTACAATCGGGTGCGTAAGCGGGAGAGAAAGAGAGGTGGAGAGAAAGAGAGGTGGAGAGAGAGAGAGAGAGAGAGAGAGAGAGAGAGAGAGAGAGAGAGAGAGAGAGAGAGAGAGAACAAAGTGGAGGTGGAAGAGCAGGCTGCACATGGAGTTAAGCCTACACTCAGCAACTCATTAGCTTAATTAAAACGTTAATGTGACAATCGAATTACACGTCTGCAGCTCTCTTCCCCCACCCCTCCCCGACCCAACCGTCCGAAGCTGGCCAGAAAGCAGAATAAGGAAGGTGGAAGTGGAAGGTGGGAGTGACCGGGAGAGGTAGGCTGGATGGAGCTATTTAAGGCACCTTCGGTAGTCCCCAGGTGGAGCCAGAGTTGATGGGTACGATCAATACTATGACTAGCAGGAATACTAAGGCCCGGTTTGTGTGGAAGAGAATTGTAATTATTGAACCTATGGAATGTTTGAAGATGCTACCATGAATTCGAATTAAGAAGCAGCACAAACATGTTTCGCGAGTCGTGCTTTAGGATTTTACCCCTCAAAAGAAATACAAACTTAGGTGCCGAACGTCTTACATTTTCTGCCGTGTACTACGTGGTGCTCTTAGACCAGACGGTGAGAGGCTGCCAGGCGGGGGCGCACGGTAGCGGGGGCCCATCCAACCACGGCCCGGTGCCCTCCGACCCCGGGCGGGGCCTCGCTGGGCCGCCCGTGAGCCCCCGCACCCAACACCAGTAGCACTCAAGACATCACCTCGTTGTTAACGTGATGGGAGCGCCCGCCTCGTCCTGCCCCCGGGCACGGCCCTCCCGCAGGGGTCATGTGCCTCAAATAAGGCAACTGCTGAACACAACTGGCAAGCGAGGCCAACACCACATCTGGAATTTTACATTACTGTACTATTCCAGTGTAATATAGTAAAGAAACTAAATCAGTTTGTCTCTTTTCTCCGATTATTAGAACAATAATGATATCTAGGACTGGACAGATGGTGTGCAACGTACTAAACGAACATTCATCTCGATAGGGACTTTACAATACATCCTGGAGCCACCTCGCTGAGTGCACGAGCTGAGACTGAGAGAGAGATAGAGAGAGAGAGAGAGAGAGAGAGAGAGAGAGAGAGAGAGAGAGAGAGACGGAGGTAGAGATTAGCCTCTACAAATTGGTGAGATGAAACAAGACAGGCAGGCAGGCCCCGACTTGGGTCTGACTCACACCGGCCTCGGCATGTGTATGTGTTATTCATCAGATCAGAGAGTTCATCTCTCTTGCTCTTCTTTTAAATGACACGCCCACTCAGGCACGCCCCACTCGGACTACTGATGAGAGACCTTACCGTCCGCTTGTGCCATTTGAAAAAGAATGTAACGCGTTTTCAACTCAGCCCACACAACTAATTCATATGGAAAGTTAGAAAATGAAATGAAGCCGTTATTTTGTAACATACAAGTGCAATTTCTTAAACACAAAATTATACATTTGGAGGAATTTACACATTTTAAAAGGGATCATTTAATATTGCATGGAGCCACTGACGGAATTGGCTTGTGGTGAAGAAGGTAGGATGTTTGTAGGAGCACTAAGGCGCGGCAGTCGAGACGAAAAATAATGCAAGTCATGGGACGGTTAGTGGTGGGCTCACCCGAGGGCGGCATCGGCAGCTCAGCACCGCCACCTTGCGTCCATTTGGAAAAACAGGGATCCATCTAAAAGGCAGTAGTATCCACTTAAGCGCACCACGCGCCGGCCGCCCTCAGTGTTTTCTGTCTGTTTTCCTTAAGTGGATCAGATTGAGGCCAACGCGATGTAATGTGCCTCGACAAGCCACTAACACTACTTGTGGAATAAAAACGCCACCACCAGGTGAACAGCCACTGTAGCAGCGGCAGCAACAGCAGGAGACGGCAAAGAGTCCAGCTAAACTCCTTTCTGAGTGCGAGGCAAGCAGGGACCCGGGCAAAAGCCTTTATAAAGTAAAAGCGGGCGCCAGCCTTATTTTTAAGACACGGCGACGAAGAGCATGAGAAGAAATAATAGTAGAGTTAGGGAAAAACAAGGGCGTTGTGAATTGTCACCGTACGCCCGCGTCTTTCTCCGAAGAGAAAATGGCTGAGATGACTTTGCACCGTCACCATTAGCAACGGTCCCTAATTTCGTTTTTCTACTTGTTTGAGCCCTGCAAAGATAGATAAATTGATGAATTACCGAGCCACCTGCATAAGGCCTAAAACACATTCCTACGTATGACTGTACAACTATAGCGCCAAATGGGCCTCTTATCAACTGATCCCAATTCATTCATTCATTCATCCATCAATCCATCCATAGATCTATCGATTCATTAAGGAGACCTGCAGAGGAACGCGCGCGGTTTCCGCGACCTTAGACTGGAAAGGGGGGGCGGGAATCCATTATATTCCAATATCCGGGTCAGTAATTTCATTGCAGAGAAAGTTCCTTTTGTACCACGGAGGTACGGAGGTCTCGCTTTCCATTTCCCCAGCATTTTGGTGACAGAAACGTTTGTGCGTCATATGGAACCAAAATATTTCCCAACGGCAAGAAAAAACATAATAAATCAAAATAATGAAAAGGCTTTAAATACCAAGTTGAAATGATGGCTATTCTCTAGTTTCATCGGCAAATAAGCCCTGCCTGCAATGCAAGTCCTGTGTGAACTGTGCGCATCTCGCGGGAAGACACCAAAAGAGCACAGAGTCGTCGCGATAATACGCCTGGCGGGAAATCCGAAACTTAAACAAGACTCTGCTCGGCCACCGGGGGCGGTCACGTGCCGCGGCGTGCGCGCGAGGGCGACACCCCCGCCTCCCGCCCCTGGGCGCCCCGCCCGAGCTGTCAACCGCGCCGGCCCGCTGTCACTTGGAGCCGGCTAATTGCAGGGACCTTGTTTACAGAAATATATTGGGTACGCGAGGGAGGCACAAACTACACGGTAGAGTGTGCTCGCAGCGTTTGAGGCTCAAGTTTTTTTTTCTTTTAAAAAGGGGGATAGTTGTGCATAAAAGAACTTTGCGTCGTCTTAGTCGAACGATTTGATATGGGAATTTTATCACAGTGTCGTTGGTTATTTATGACAAAGGTGGGACAAAAAATTTGAAATATCTCATTAATTTCCTGTCGATAAACATAAATCGATTTCGGAAATTGCCACTTATTCCGGCGTGCAAAACGAGACCTCAACGCAAGGGATGTTTGGGAAAGATGCGAAATATTTTGCAAATGAAATTTGAACGCGCCAAACACTCGAGACGAGTAGCTTGTTCGGAGGGATGTTATTCCACAAATCAATAGAAAAGCGGATCAGATTAAATACTTCGTAAAATGTCGCACAACGCACTAGTACTCGACACTAATTGAGTCCTTCGAAACCACTCCAGACGCCTTATCTCTGAATCTCGATTGTGAGAGTGAGGTAGTGTGGATGACTTGAGGCGGTGAGGATCAAATGCTTGGCCAATTAACGAGATGGCATCCAGATAGTGGGAATCTTAACGGTATCACCAAGTGTATAGTTTCAGTTATTAATTGCGGTTAAATAAGGAAAATGGGGTACTTCATAGATGCGCAAGAGAAAGAACGAAAGAAAGAAAGAAAGAAAGAAAGAAAGAAAGAAAGAAAGAAAGAAAGAAAGAAAGAAAGAAAGAAAAAAAAAAGAAAGAAAGAAAGAAAGAAAGAAAGAAAGAAAGAAAGATGTTTGACAATGGCGCTCAGAAACCTAAGATCACGCTGATCCCACTCACAGCCTCCTGTAACAGTCCCGTTGATAGAAGACAACCCCCATGTCCCAGGTGTGACAAGGCTGTCGGGGGGTAAATGGTTACGTCACACATTCTCATACTCACCACCGGACTCGCCACCAGTGCAGGAATCCGGCGTCTGCCGCTGCTGCTGGGCACTCTTGCTGTTGTTGTTGGGCGTACTGTTGCTGTTGTTCGAGCTGTGCAGGCCCAGGATGGCGTCGATAGAGTGCCGCGGCCCCGTCAACGGCTGCGAGCTGGTCGGGATCTTGAGGTGGTTGTTGTTGATGTTATTGTTGTTGTTGTTCTTCGGGAGGAGCGGGAAGGGCGGTCGGTGGTGCAGCTGCAGGTGCGGGTGCAGCAGGGGATGGTGGTGCATGGCGGGGTGCTGGTGATGCCTCTGCATGATCATGTCGGCGAGCTCGGCCCGGACGTGCGACAGCGGCGGCAGCGGCGACCTCTGGGGCAGCTGCTGCGGCTGCTGCTGCTGCTGCTGCTGCAAGGGCTGCGGTGGCGTGCCTCCACGGACGTCCACCTCCTGCTCCTGGTCATCGTCCTCCGAGTAGTCGTCGGCGTCCTTCCGCGGCCGGTCGTCCTCGCCGGCGGGGGAGCTCGCGGACCTGGCGGACGCGGCCGACGACCCGGCCGACGACGCCCGGGGGTCCAGCTCGGTGGCGCTGAGCTCGGAGGAGTCGCGGCTGTCCGCGTCCATGGCCGACTCGTCGCCGCAGAGGTCGGTTGAGGTCGTCGTCGTCGTCGTGGACGTCCCAGTCGCGTTGACTCGTCGCGGAGAGCGTGCCGCGAGCGAAGCGGCGTCGACCCGAGGACGCGGTGCGGAGCGGAGCGGCGCGGCGGTCTGTGCTCGGCGGGGCAGCGCTGAGCCGAGCCGGTCGCACTGGGCTGGGCGGGGAGCTGGCCTGGGCCCCCGCCGAACTGAGACGAGCCGAGCCAAGTCGGGCCGAGCCGAGCCGAGCCCACCCTACTAGCTCCGCCCCTCCCTTTCCAGTCCCTCCTAGCGTCCCTTCAACCCTCCCCCTGCCTAACCACCCCTACTCTCTCTCTTTCTCTCCCTAGCGCTCCCTCGCTGTTGCTTTCCCTTTCCACCCCACCTCCTCTGTCGTCCTCATGTCGTCGTCCCGCCGTCACTTCCTCCCTCAGTTCAATTCCGTTTGTTATTCCTTCCTCTCTACGGCGATTGCCTTCCCACTTCACAGTTTCACAAGAGGTATTTGCCTCCGTGATTCCGTCCCAGGCGGGCCGAGGTGATTCTAATGCGAGTGTGTCGAGTGTCGTCCCTCTAACGACGTCAATAAGCCAGCCCGGGTCTATGCGTCAATAGAGTGGGTGACGACTACCAGCTCGGTATCGATTAGTCGCATCAAACTCTCGCACACTTCACACGCAGTTCCAATAGTAGATAGGAAATAAAACATACGAGCTGATATGGAAAGAGGCAGAAGAGAGGGCCCCTGTCAAAATAAAGGGACGCCGAAAACACAACTTACGTAAAGGGAAAGAAAAGCGGTTGTCGGCGTGCTTGAACCAACAGCTTGTCTCCTAACGGAATTCTCATTAAGCTATCCCCAGCAAACCCCACAGCGCCCCCCCCC